GTATAGGCCGCCGAGTCGTCGGACTCGACGCTCGACGTGTTTACCGGCTCGAAAGTATCACGCTGGTTCTTGGATGCGCGCGACAGACAAAGAGGAAGAGAGAGAAAGAGATAAAAAAGGAGAGAGTAGAGAAACCATCCCCTTTAAGAGATAGACCTTAAAGTCTCGGCCATACGTCGGCGTCGGCGTCGGCGTCGGCACGTTTCCCCCCGAGATCTCTCGCGAGGGACATTTATCCACGCACGTCGGCATTGTGCGCCGATGCACATGAAAATCGCGTGCCGATCGTCACGAGCAAACGGCCCCCGCGTCGCGCCGCGCCGCCACTCACAAGCGCTCGTGTGGTGCTGCTGCAACGGGAACCGGGAACCCGCCGCACCGCGAACGGACGCGTTGCTATGCGATGCTATGCTACGCGTGTTTGCACCGGCAGCAAACTGCGCTGCTGATTATCACACGTCTTATCGCCGACGATGCGCATTGTGACAGCGTCGTAGCGATTCTTACATTACGCTGTCACGTAGACTGTCACTATAGCTTTGTCTCGGAATCGTGTTTCGAGTTTCATAAATCTACTTTTTTAAATCTAAATTTTGTTGTTTCAAAGAATCTAATTTCTAATTTATGTGTATTTGATTTTCGTTCTATTTGACGTTGAAAAAAGTCGTGTATTACTTTGCGTTGCTTGTGGAAAGTAAAATAATTTTTGTTTATATAAGAAATTGATTAAAAATAGTTTCCATTGCGCGTTAATATATTATATAATTGTGACATTAGATAAAATCGAGGATAAGACATTCTTTTTAACAACAGAATTGAATATTAAAAATTAATTATCAAGCACGCACGTTAATATCTCGTAGCTGTATTGGCAGCTGTTGTTTTCAATAGATTAACAATCGATTGGCACAGCTGTTTCAGCACAGATTAACAACATGGAAGCAAAGGAGAGGGAAAAGCCGCTGGTCAAAGACTTAAACGAACATATCGTGTGTCCGCTGTGCAGAGGCTACCTCATAGATGCTACGACTCTTGTGGAATGTCTGCACTCCTGTTAGTATTTTCTTCAACATGATCATCATTGCTTGTCGTTAACCATCGAGCGGTCGCGTTGCTGTAATTGTAAAACAAAAATCCAATGTTAAGGACATAATTCTATTTGATACTTCAGATACTACTTGTATAAAAAGCAAATGTAAAGAATTTTTCTTCGGGATTGTTATAATATTTTCAGAACTTTTAAGTCAATGCTTTTCTTAAATTGGAGGGCATATTTTGTAGCTTGCAACTGATACCAAGATTAATTCATTTTGCATTACCCTCGCCCTATAAACATACACTGCAGTCTGCACACAAGTCATGTTCTTTTAACATTCTTTTTAAATCTGGGAAAGTCAGTGTTCTTTTTTTCTTGTATAATAATTCTTGTCTTGAATGTCGCGATGTCATGCTCGAATCGATCCAATTATATATGTATATCGAAATATAATTTTGAGACGCCGCACCGCGGCCGTTCTTTCCTCACGTCTCACGTCTCACGTCGCAAACGCGGGTCGTCAGTTTGCAGAGGTTGCATCGTTCGGCGTCTGAGTAGCGGCGCCCGCGCGTGCCCCGTGTGTAGCGTCGCGGCGTCGCCGCCGCTCTTGCCGGATACGCGGCTCCAACGGCTGGTATATCTCGCGGTGCCCGGTCTCTTCCGGTCGGAGCTCGAACGTAGACGCCACTTCCGTCTGGTGAATCCGCAATGCCCGCCGTTGCTGTCGCCCGTGGGCGCCCTCGAACTCACTCTGGAGGATCTCGTCAGTCTGAGTTTGCGAGAGCTGGAGCACACGGAAGACGGGACGCTGAAGGAGGCGAAGGAGGCGAATGAAGGAGGCGACTCGTCGAATCGTGCAAACGAGGTATCGGCAGGGGACGTGAGTAGTGGCGGAAGTACGAGGTATCTCAAGTGTTCGGCCGCCGTGACAGTGCGTCATCTGGTGAGACTGCTGATGCTGAAGAGAGGATGGGAAGAGGCTAACGCGACCGTCAACGGTGTCAATAATAGGATAGAAATTTTGTACCAGATGGACGAGGCGCAACACCCCGACGGGGAAAGCATGCGCCCGCTCAATCCCTCTTGGACGCTTCTGGACCTCGCTTGCATATTTCGATGGAAGAGGGTGAGTTTAATGGTCCGGCTTGACGTATACCGCGGTCGATCGATCGTTTTCATATCATACATACAAATCGAGTCTGTATTAACCCTTGAGTATTCTCCAATTGATTTGATCCAAATAATTTTTCTCTTCTTTCCATATTTTTTTCGCTTTTAGAAAGCTGCAGAAAAGAAACGTTAAGTCCGTATCAGACTACGAATTGGGATTGAGATTGGATTGAAATTTAATCAACCAGAACAGAGAAAACTGATCTCAAGTTTAGTGAACTTTGCTCTGATTGGTCAAATTTCAATCCAATCTCAATCCTAATCCGCAATCTGATACGGGCATTACAGGAAATAAATGTTATATTACGTACGATTTGTTATTATTCGATATTTGAATTTTCAGAATTTAATATCGTCTGTCTTATAGGAGAAAAATATTTGTTAACACGTATCTGTGCGTAACTTGCCACTACTAGTATACTTAAGGATTAATGTTAAGGAAATTTTATTTATTGCATTTTTATTCGCCTTAACATTTCCATTAGCATTCTATGTTCTAAAGAGCTATTGCGTCTCATGCTATTGATATCGCGTGCTATCTTAGCAGCAACGTTTTGATATTTCACCGTTCAATCGTTCGATAGTTTAATCGTCGAATTATGCTCGAAAATATTAACCGAACAAGGAAGTACTCTCGGGAAATTCTTTGCGAATAAAATAAGTAAGCAGTAGCTGTAAATTGTCGTGTTTGCTATGACCGAGCCTATATAGCCTGGCCAGCCAGCCGCGAGCCGGTGCGGTGCGATGCGCGTTATGAAAGGCGGCGCGATGGCCCGTCTGTTGCAGGAGGCGCCAATGAGACTGTTCTACCGGGTATTGCGAAAGGAAGAGGCGGCTTCGATCTCGAAAGTTTCCTCGTACAAGGACGACGCGACCAAGGATGTCCCGCCGGCGATCGAAAATATACAGCGACCACCGACCCCACCACCGAGTCCCAAGCCTAGTCGCGAGCAAGAAGCTCGCGGTGCGGAGCCACCCCGTGCTCTCGAGACGACGAGCGTCGATGTCCGCGACAAAGAGATGCAATCGAAAAAGCCGCGCTGCGAGGTGACGCCCGTTATGCGTGCCCCGGACCCCCCGTCGACCACCGAACTGTCGACGAGCAATCGTCATCAGTCGCCGGAGAGTAAGAAGAACAAGGATATGGCAAGGTTGGAGCATCGGAAGCGGCGCAAACGGCGAAACAAGCGAGTGATCGCGGAGATCACTACGACGCCGCGCGAGGATCTCCTAAAACTCAAGGTCCGCCTGACGCCGTGTCCTCCGAGGATTACGTCTGGAGCGACAGGCAGCGGTGGGGGTGGGAGCGGAGGCATCGGTGCGAACAGTCGAACGAAGGAGAAACTGTTGCAGATGCGAGCGGTTAGACGCGACAAGATCAAGACGATCGCTCAGCAGCGATCGACGGCGAGTCCGCTAGCTCGGAAGGAAATCATGTCCAAGGAGTGCGCCGTGATAGACGTGGAAGAAACGATCGAGCAGATCATCGACAGCATTCCCGACGAGGTCGTGCATGTCGCGCAGATCATCGGCAAAAACGAGGAAACCAAGTCCAAGGAGTACAAGTGCATCGCGGCGGAAAAGATGACTAGCAAGGTGACGGAGGAATCGACGAAAATATCGGAGAGCAGCGACGAACCAGAGAGACCGAAGAAAGATGAGGAGATTCTGCGACGACTGGGCCTGATAGCTGTTAACGAAGCCGGTGAGAGAATGGCGAAGCAACGCGCGCAGAGCGGCACTGACAAGGCGGATAGTCTAGACCGCGAGAAGCTGGAGAAGCAGTTACGCGAAAGCAAGGCGAATCGCGTGCGAAGCTTGCTGGCGGAGAAGCAGATGCGCGACGCGCTCAAGACTATTATGTCCACGAAGGAAGAACTGACGTCGTCCGTCATTAAGACGCCAATTTTGACGTCCATTCTTAATACCACACCCACGCCTGTCGCACCCGCGGCCGCCACGGTCGCGTCTATCACGCCAAAAAAGAAGGAACCACCGCCATTGACGCCTCTGCGCGTCGCAAAACCTTCCGGTTTTGCTGCAACCAGCGTGATAGTGTCGAATATCACTTCCAAGTATGAAACGCCATTGGATCTCAGCAGTGGTAGCGGCGGTGGTGGCAGCAGCAGCGGCGGTAGCAACGGCGGTAGCAGCGACGGCGGCGGCGGCGGCGGCACCACCACCGTCAATGACAACATCCTCGACCTGTCTGCTACATTACCCGACAACGGTCAATCCACTCTTCCATCTTCCTCGTCCTCTTCCTCCTTGCCATCCTCCTCCTCCTCTTCTTCCTCCTCCTCCTCTTCCTCTTCTTCCTCATCTTCCTCCTCGGCATCATTGTCCTCGATATCGTCCTTACCATCGTTGCCATCATCAAAGCTGCCAGCGCGATCCACAATTAGCGCCGCCGGCAGCCTTTTCCGTAAATCTAAGGAATTGGAGCCACAGCGCGGCAAAGGACAGCAGGAATCGAATCTGAGGACCCTCTCGGATGCCGCGGTGTCACGTCTGACAATGAGCACTTGTCTGATCGAAAAGAATCCGGCGATAGATTCGCTGGCATTGGCCGCCGCGAACGCAAACACCGCCAGTAGTAAGGTCGCTCTGCGCATACCGCAGCCGCATCATCGCATCTCCGGTTTCGGTATGAAAATCAAGCCCAATCTCGGCGTCCGCCACATTCCGAATCCCCAAGCTGTCGTCGTCTCGCAATATCGTAATCAAAAGTTACTTCAACGCAGTTATTTCAACGTCGTTCAGAAGTCGCCATAAATGTGTGTGTGTGTCTTTTATCTTTAATATAATTTATCTATCTATCATTTCCCCTGCCTTTCCCCCCCTCTCTCTCTCTCTCTCTCTCTTTCCTACTTACTATTTTTCTGTAAATAGTGTAAATCGGTCGTTAAACTTTGACATCGACACACGGAATTTCTGTACGACCGAAATACACGTATTTCGCGAACTTTCATATTTAATATTCAAATTCAATTGGAATTTTCCTAAGCGCGATGAAAGATTTTACTATTATATATATTGGCAAAAATCAAATATAATATTCAGAGTTATTTTACTCGAAATAGTCGAAATAAACAACGATCATTGTCGATGCATTCATCAGACGACGTTTTTAATTATGTAAAAGCGCACAAGTTATATATATTACTTTCGATCTGATTACCACTGTCGGTGCGTCTTGTTTTCCCAGAGGGTGGGAAAGGGAGGAGAAATCACCGACTATTGGTCGGATTATTGTTACCTAGATATATCAAAATGACTGTAATACTATACGCCTGACCTGTGCACTGTGTCGCGGTCTATAACTCCTATGGTTGCTGGCGAATCGATTTGACAAACGGACTCTCGTGAGGAAAATTCGTGGCGTCCGATAAAGTATCCAATATTCAATGGAGACGATATAGTTATATATATATGTAATATGTTGGATCGAGATGTAGTAATCTGTGAATGGATAGGAATGATTGCAGCGAAACGCATGACAGATATAGTCATCCGTTGTTCCTTCTTTAGGACTGTGCGAGGACTCCGGGAGTTCGCGGAAAATGAACTGCGGGTTCGAGTACTCAAAGATTTCTATAGTAAGTTTAATATTTGTTATAAAATCGACTAGATCTCTTCGAGTCATCAGCAGGAAGCTGAACGTATCTATATTTTTGAATTTTTGTTACTTGCACTTTTATTAAAAAAGTCTTATATCATGTTTACAATTTAGCAAATATCCTTATCATAGAAGAAGAATGCATTTTAGTTGACCAGAAAAGTTCCTCGTGATGTTTTACGTATTATTATAGAGTATTATTGTTTATCACTGTTGAATTATTTTAGTTACTTTAATGTGTATTGATTTAATTGTGCATGCGTGTGTGTATATATGTATGACGCTTTTGACAAGTTTGTTTGTTTGAGGAAACATTGGAAACATTTAGAATCAATTATGAGATGTGTATGTAACAGGTGTTTGAATGCTCCCAAAGATGTAAATAATAAACAATCTCACGCAATTGCAAGCGGAATCCGATCACGTTCGTCTGTGTTACACATCGACTTTATTCTCAGGAAATCTAGCCGAGACTCGAACTCGTATACAAATTTTTCATTTTTCTCGAGTGTACGGCACGGGCCTACCGCATTGGGTGCGATTTTTCCCTCTCTCTCTTTCAGAACTTGCGATTAGCAAAAGATATATTGTAATAATTTGTAGAGATGCCAAAGAGAACGCCCGAGAACGTGTGCAATGTATTAGTGCAATGTAGTTATCATTTAACGTAATATATATATATATATATATGTATCACTCGGCGAATTAGCGGCGCCGAAACATAAAAGGTAAGTAGAGAGTATTCGTACGGACACGTATGAATTGCGTGTGCGTGATTTGTGATTCCTTGAAGAGACTCCGTAGCATATATAGACATCCGGGAGACGAGATGTTTTTATAACGGCACATTTTTTGCGGAATTAAAAAAAAACTTGTTGCGAAATCAGATTGTAGAAGTATCGTTAACGCGCGCGCGCCATTGTGCGACGATGACCAAAAAAGCAGTGCGTACCTTCTGACTGGCAAGCGCATAGGCCTTAAACTGGCGGAAAAATGACAAATTTCATGCCATTTGGAACAATAAAACTTTTTTTAACCAGTCTTATTTTTCTGGATTCGAGCGACGTTAATACGTCTTGTAATTCCTGCATGTATTAAGATAATTCGCAGCGTTTGTACAGAAGCGAAGTTGGTATTCTCAATTTTTCTCTCGTTATTGAATTAGAAATAACGAGCGTCACATAAGCGTTTAGCATTTCTAATTTAATATAAAAAATAAAACGTTTGTGTTACCAGAGTTATTCAAATCTATATTTGCGCGATGAACCCTTAAATTTCATAGAAAATTTTGAAGAAATTGAAAATATGAGTTTTGCTTCTATATACTTCTCATATACATATGTGTATGGAATACGTGATATTGATAACAAGGAATAGATGTCAGTATCTTGAATAGATGGTTATACATATATTATAGAAGGAAATCACTGGATCATAAATTATAGAATAATCTTGAATATAAACTTGAGGGGAAAAATGACCAATCGCAAAATATAGCATCAGGTGGTAGATAGCGTAAGCTTTTCAAATTTAATCCTGGCACTGAGAGATTGATCTAAATAACCATTAAAAATATTCTATTTGTACGCATAACAGCTATAATATTCCAAAGTACGAACTACAGCGAACGACAAAATGCGAGAGCATTCGTAAAAGCCGGTTTTACTTCTACACGCGCTTAAGATATAAGATCCAGTCGATGTAATCCCTCTGACATAACAGACGCATTAAAAAATGCATAGCAAGTCCATAGAAACAAACTATAATTGCGTTTTGAAAAATAAAAATACGTATTCAATAAGAAATTGTTCAAAGTGGTCTTTTTCCTTAAACGATTACTTTTCCTTGTCGTTTAAATCGTAATTTTCAAGGCCGTTCCACGCAAAGCTAACGCTTGAAAGATGGTTTTTAACAGTCACAATAACATATTTCGATATATGTATTTTGAAGAGTTAATCGAGATAAAAAATCCGCATTTGTCAAATGCTTCGATACCGTGCAATTATACGTACTATTATATGTATCGCGTAGATGGATATATATATATAGATATATATTATACAATCACTTGCAGGAAACCCCACATCCAATATTGCAATATTTCTCCTATTTGCATTAGTGTCAATGTGCCAAAACACAAAACGCAAAGTGCAAATTTAACATTTTTTACCAACACGTGCGCTTTTGTATCTGTCGTCTAATTTTATTTAATTTGAATACTTCGAATTGCTAGAGTTTTTGTAGAAATAATCTTGGTTTTGACGTAATTGATCGCAAAGTCAATTAATAACGGGTACCAATATTAGTAAACATATGCGTATAATTTTCGTAAAAGAAATCTATAAGTTCAGATTTACAGGTTGTCGCGTGGAACCTGTCCATTGATCTAGTGAAATCGTAACGGTTTACTCCATTTGTGAAGGAGACTTGAGATGTTTATAGAAAACCGGCTCCTGTACTCGAATGAAATCAATGCATGAAGCGACTTTCGATTAATAGCGTAGTTTCCTAATAGTGTAGTTTATAATACACAGAACGGAACAGAACTGTGTTAAAACATGAATGCGACCAAGTATATTCAAACCGGTATTGAAATAGGGCTTAACGAATATTAATATATAATTATAGCGGAGAATGATAATAAGCAACAGATTTAAATGCCAAATAATGTAAATTTAAATAGTTATTTATTCCTACGAATTTTAGAGAACAAATTTAACTATTTTTTCCCACATTTCTTCAACTTTTTTATTGTTATAAATACTTAATATTTTTGTGTATTTTTTTACGTCTCCTTATCGCATCATGCAGTGATAATAACGTTAAAAAATAATCAATAATGCAAACCAAATTTACTTTTAAAAGAAATCATTTAATACGGAAGATTAAACTAAAAGTGCAATGAACACAGTGACATTAACATTAAATAAGTTTCACAACAACAATGTAGACAAATGAATATTCACTTCCGATATGAAAAATATTAACGGAGAAATATTGAATGTAAGGGATGACGAAGACGTAAAACATATACACATCGTCATCAACAAAAATTAGATTTCTTAGAAAGAAGTAGAATCGATGAAAATCGACAGAAAATTGATAGGAAAATTCAGAAAGAACGCTAATGAGCAAATTAACATAATAAGAAAACGTAAGATTAAAAAAGAACAGACAGAAGGATTAAAAACGCAAAAAAAGTCAGAAAGAAAGAAAGTCAAGACTTTCGTTAACTAGCTCGATCTTTGATTCCCCGTAACGAGATCACGTCAATTAATCGTTGCGTTATACATTTGTCGTCGGACCGACATAATAGGACGCTTTCGATAACGTAAAAAAGAAGAAAGAATTAAATCAAAACTGCCACTTTTGCGAACAGAAGGAAAAGAGCCATGGTTATAATTTTCACTTTGATTATTCACAGCAAATTCAACACACATACACAAGAGGGACCCAATAGATTTCTCAAAGCTATTTTTCTATTGTGCGCGTTTTTAAGTGATCGAGAGAACACGCGTTTATTATCCGAAAGATATCAAATTCCATCGAAAGAAAAACACAGGAACGAGATCCATATCCCTATCGAAATTTATACTTATCAATAACGTGAATTAATGTAAAACTGACAATTTTAGGATTGGTGCGTTCTAATTAACACGTATTTCCTGAGAAAAACAGAAGACATAAAAAAACGTATAATTTTTTTATTATAATTTATTATTGAGGCTATTATACGACTTTTTATCAAAGACAACTACAAGACAGTTTTCGATATAATAATAACACAAATCCTATCAAATGCAAATAGTGATATATAAGAAAACGGATATATCGTAACTGATGGAGGTATATCCGTTTTCTTATATATCACTATTTGCATTTAATAGGATTTCTTTCGTAAGAAATTCTTGCGTTTCCTTATTTTCGATGTCACAATGCAACATGGTCTTATTTAATGATCATTACGATAAACAGACAAACAGTACCGATATTTGTAAAAACAATGCCAATATTCGTTATAGGTTTACGCATCTCTTCGAGATCTCATGGATATTCACGGTACGATAAGAATTTGAGAATCGTTATGATTCATCGTCAGTCGATAGTCGATACACGATTACTTCCTATCTTCTTTTCATGTTAACAATAAGTGTGTTGAAGAATCAGTTTGGCGAGTCTTATCGAAGACGGGGATCTACGTCATTAACATAACGACCGCGACGCGACGATCTCGATTCTCGAACGAAGTGTACGGGGACGCATGAAAGTATTGGCTCGAGAAATGGCTCCGTTTGCGAGAACCAAGAATCTCAGAGACTCCTCCACGATTGTAATTCATTCTTATTATTACCAATCGTATTATCGCGAATAGCAAGCGTGTCATATTACGGTATTTACAGTATTCTATTCGAACGGATTCATCCGCGCTCGAATTGCCTAGTATTAACTATTAACTATATAGTGTAATCGTGACGGTAATAATTATTCTATGCCAAATTGCAGCGAGAAACAGCGTGCATATTCGTTTATGTTTGCCGTATAAATTGTTTTACCTGTCATCCTGTCGTCTAGTAGTTACGGTATATTTAAAAGATATTACATATTTATATTATTATACTGCAAATTTTTTTAAGCACTTATGTGAAATTAAGATTTTTACGTTAAGTTATTGTTATTTAACTATCTTATTTAATAAATTTATTTAATACTTATTAAGTAGAGGAGAATTTTTGTTGTTAGCAACAAGTTGACTACTCGTGCTATTATTTTCAGATAACGTTAATATTACAACAAAATTTTATAACAAATAATTGGATAATATAGGTTTACTTTTATTCATATTCAAGTATAGCTGTTAATTGATGTTTATTAATTCGATGTCCATAAACCGATATTCATTACCGTTTAATAACATTAAAATGCATGTCGCTATTTTTCCTTATACGCATAAGTAGCGAGAGAGCTCATATAAATAACCAATACTGAAAAATATTCACTCTTACATTAATTAATACAGATGCAAAGTGAAGATACTAATTCGGATTTCTCATTAGTAATGTGCGCAACGTATACGTTTAATGTGCACACTGACAAATATTGTAGCATGGTGCACAAATTAAATTGTTATACCTATTATATACTTGAAACGGCCAAGCATTTAAAAAACCGAGAACGGTACTAACAGCTCCTAAAATCAAAATTGACGACAAAAATGATCGACGCACGGAAATCGGTTTTTACGATGTGCGAGCGCGTGTATATGTATAGTATAATATAATATATCTTTAATATTGTTGCGATCGTTCGAATGTTTTAATTGTCGAAACGAATATACCGCGCGATGCGATCTTCGGTATTAACGAGAACGAGAGAAAGAAATTGTCTAATTTAATTCGATGAAAGATTAAGAAAGGTGCCGAATGGATGAAAGGCAGTATAATTGTTGCGCGTATTTATTAGCTACTCCATCTAACCTATTGTTTCAGCAAAGCTATTCGGAAGTCATATCGTATTGTACGTTGTAGGACTTGCTCGTAAACGAAATATAAAGTGTATAATATCCTACGCATGTGGTTTATCAATTTACTCATCCTTGCCTTAGGTATAGTGTGATACACGATATATTTCTCCCGCAGATACAAGTTTACAACGGTAAGTCAACTATATACATGTGGTGAATATGCTCCCTCGTTAAGAAATTACTATATTAATTGTTATAATTTCTTGTTTTAAAAAAAAATCAGATTATTATCAAATCCGATAATTAATTTCAATATATTTCCGTATAAATTCAATTTTTATTATACATATTCAGTAATGCAAAAAATTTTCGTGGAGGTAAGATTATGATAATATCATCAGGTATCACGAGGAAAGCAAACATTTGTCATATTATTTAGAATTTTAGATATAACAAAAAGTCCTCAGTTTTACCGTGCCAGTGATATTCTTTTCGGTATAATAAAACAATAAAATAGAAATTAACGGAAATATAATCAGCTTCCTCGCCTCCACTTTTTAAGACTCCATCGTTTCGTAACAATAGCATAATCGAATATCCGTATCACGCGTTGAATACCCCGTAAAAAAATTAAATAAACTCTTAATTTTAAGCAATTTTTCTTTGAATCTTTGGCATTGAAACTAATACCGTAAGAATAGAAAGTTCGTAGAAACTTCGTAGAAACTTGACTTGTGCAATGTGTGTGGGACCGAGCGTGAAAATGGCGAGTCAAGCTTGGAATGCGGAGTTATATGTTACAAGTGCACCTACTACTTGAGTAATCCTAAATCCATCGCTTAATATTCGTTTATCAGCGAATATTCGTGTATTTGTATCGTTAGTTAATAAAAATATTCTGCGGATTTTTTTGTTATCTCTGATAATAGAGTTCCTTGATAAAAATACGCGGATTGTTTCAGTTTTGCATGCAGTTAGCACTCGTGTTTAACTCAATTTATTTTTTCTTTTTAGGCTCGTTACATTAGACTATTAGAGCGAAAACAATTCATTTACAATTATTTATTCGTTTATCGTGACTAACGAGAAGATATCTTTATAATAAAAGTCTGTCAATATTTCATGACTTCCGACAAAAACTATCGTACTTATTTATATAATAAGTATGATAGAAAAAGTAATTGCTCGCAGTGATGTTATTACTCGTAACCTTTCGGCTGATCGACGAATCGTGGACAATATATGTAATAAATTGTAAAGCTGATGACATTTTACAATTCTTTGAAAAGGTTATCGAGTTTGCTCTTGTATTGCAAAAAGTGATTGTTCTCCCGACCGCTGATTAACAGTTGGGATATGACTGAATGAGCCTGTGTCATTGTCGCCGACCGATCGCCGACATTTTTTAAGTTTTATAAAAAGTCAGGGAGCTCGTTGCAGGTCGACCGAGATCGTGGAATTCTAGACGATATCCATAAGGATAACCTCCTCCCTCCCTCTCGCCCTTTCGCCGGATTTTTCAGCAGTTAGCTAAGAGGATGATTTCAATTATACGCTTCAAGTGGAAGGCCTATGCTATCATAGGCGGAGGAGGAAGGTACACCGATCCTTATACCTTCGGCAACCTACATTAGACGCGAAAGAGTCAGCCTGCAGCCACACAGGCCTCGGCCGCTGATTGGCTGTGGCCTCCCCGGGGAAGTGCGTCGGAAGTGAAGAGGGCTGAGCGCGCTCGGGGCGAGAACGAGGCGCGGTTACACAATGCGGTAACGCGATCCGCACCCTTGATAAAACTTGACTGCGATCTGCGATCTGCGACCTGCGACCGCGGTTGAATCAGTGGGTGGCGTCAGTGACGTTTCTATCGAAACGCTTGACAGCCAAATCTACAGCCAATAACGACGAATTTACACGTAAAACTCTTCTCAAGGTTGCAACGTTGAAATGCCAACGTTTATCAGTTACAGTTACGTTAAGGAACTTTTTATCGCATAAAGTAATTAATTCAGTCTCACCAAGTTATTCATATGATGTTTCTCAATTTTTATCCCAGGTATATCTTAAGTATTCGATAACAGACCTACGATGTCACGAAAATCGAAACCCAACCGCAAATTGAAGCTTTTTTCTCGAGAAATATATTCTTGTTTGAAGGAAAATTTTGAAAATTTCAACTTCAAAGAAGTAAAATGCGGAACAAATAAATGCTTGTGGGATATCACCTTTATGCCGTTTGTTTTGTGGAATTTCAGGTACAATAAGACCCTTTTCTAATTTAGAATCGTCGATCCATTTATTCTGAAATTCACATGACGAATTTCTAGCTAGAGAGCATTTTACAGAATAAACGCTATTCCAGAATAGAGGAGTTCTATTGTATTCTAATACTCCAAGTCCCTTCGGCAAACGAACCTTACGACGAATAGGGTTCTAGATTTGGAAATTGCAAGAACGCGGCGACATCCTCATCGTGTGTAAGGGACATTCGCGCGTAAACTATTCCTCTCTCTCGTTCGCTCGCGCTCCGTCTCGTTTCGTCCCATTGGCGGGCAATCCTCGGGATTTCGTTTTTTTTCTGTCTCTCCCCCGCCACGCGGGACGAGCGGCATGACTGTAATGCCGCCACCCTTTTCGCCACCACTCTCCACCACCACGACGACGTGGAGGTCTTCTTCTTCCACCTCGACCTTCCCCCCTATCCCTATCCCGTCCGCGCCACCGGATCGCCCTCACACACGCACGCACGCACACGCGTGTACGCGCGCGCGCGCGCACACACACGCGGCGCACCCTTCGTCCTGCCTGCGGATGTAGTAGAGAATGAATAATGTACTCTCGCATCAGGAGGGGCTCTGGGCTCTGGCTCCGGGGAATGCGAGTGCGAGAGCCCTGTTCGCTTTCCCTTCCCCTCTTGGATTGGAAGACGTACAGGCTACTACAACGTTCTTATCGAAACGGCGCGACGCAGCGCGGCGGGCAACTACGAACGCGGTTTACGCGTAGGCGAACTGGGCTTTGATACGACCGACGAAACGATCCTGATATTCGATCTCGTTCTCGTTCTTCGTCGCAACGTTAACGGCCCTTTAACAGTCAATTCGTTCGCGTCTAGTCGCTAATCCTGATCGCCGAGTCTCGTGTAATATCGTGCAGAAAATGAAAGATGTTAAAAAAATTAAACGACGAAATCGATAAATCGATGAAATTTATTTGCGGTATAGAACAACATTTCCATATTATAATAATTCTTGCTCGAACCTGAATGAAAATGTTTATTGATCCGTTTCTGGTCGGGCCGATCGAACAATCGCGTTGAGTCTTAAGCTGACAATGAGTCGAAACGAAGCTGAAATCCACCAGACAAAAACAGAAGAATGTAGAACCTATAAATTAATATGACTTATTATACAATTACAATTACAATTAGTGTGATCTGGTAATATTAAAATATGCCGAAACATCTATGTCTATAACAAATAATGCTAAAAATTTTTATTTGAACGATTTTATATGTCTACATAAGGCTGGTAACATAATTTATCTTGTGTTCATTACTAACTCGATCAATAATATTACCTAACAACAGAAAAAGATATTGAACACTTCGAGTAGAAAGGGATCGATAAAATAAGAAGCGTTATATATATATATATATTTTTTTTTTCTAAATCTATACACATAATATATGTGTTGTTCGTGTCGTCATTTGAAACACGCTTACAATAAAGAATAAAACGACTCGCAACTTTCGCAAACGCATCTTCCTATCCACCACGCCGGCCACGCGCTCTAATATCGTCTCCCTGGTCGAGGGCCGAGGAACAGGCTACCAGGAGCATCAGGCCGAACAGGAGTGAAGAGAGTCGAGCGAGGCGGAGTCGCGGCGCGAATGTCCTAAAATCGGTGGCAGGACACGATGAATCGATACGCTCTCGCGTCCTTGCTACCGCCCTCGGGCGCTCGCGCTCGGCGAGATCACTCGTCGAGTTGATTTGCGGCGCGTCGCGTTGCTTCGAGTCGACGGCAATTTGTCGATCCGAAATGCAGATTCGGTCGAATTCATCTCGTGGATTGAATTCCCAATTCGTTTCCTAGACCGCGTAAGATCCTGGCGATACGAAAAAAGGAAGTAGTCGAGGTCGAGGTGCGCGCGCGAGCGCGAGTCGACTCCCCCGCTTTCTTCGCCGCGAAACCGGCGAAACACGTGGAGCGTTTCCCAAAAGCGTTTCTATCGACCGATATCGCGCGGCGCAGACTCCCTGCGACCTGCGAGGACTACGAGTGGCGAGTGCCGGCGTGCGCGTGTATATACGTGCGCGCGCGCGCGGATACGCACGCACACGCGCGCAGGGAGGCACGGATATACTCCGGCCGGATGGAGCCGCCCACGCATCATCACCTATACAGGTTACACGCGCGATGAAGGGGACGATGATTCGCGGAACGGGCCGTGCTTAGAGAAAAGGCCACGAGGCGAGGAGAGAGATCTCGCTTTGCGTGCCCCCGAGCCCCCGTCTACGTAGCGTCTCATTCGCTACGTCGTTGGTCGTTCCTCGCTCCTCGGTGACGACCGACCATCCGTTTCGAGTATAGAGCTTCGTGGTAGGGAGAGAGAGCGAGGAGCATGGTTCGAAGGCAGCTAAGGCAGCTAAGGCAGCTTCCCAAAGCGAGAGCTTTGAAAATGATTACCCTCCAGGGACGACGAAGGACGGAAAGGAAAAGAGAGAGAGAGAGAGAGGGAGGGAGAATGAGGCAAGGAAGGGCACGCACCATGCCACGAATATTTTCGTCCACGCTCTCTGATCGTAAAGGAATGGAGGAGAGGGAGGGGTAAGCCGGTCTTCAGCCAACAACCGAGGGTGACTCGTGATTGGAAGGTCGCATATTGTAGTGGGGCGGGATTTGATTGTAGTTTCCCCAGTATAGTGCGACTGTTGTAATTAAAAACCAACGGAAAGCGTCCGAAGCAGACCACTGGATATTTCGATCATAGTTGTAGAGTAGACCGTAAAATTCTATGTGATTTTTTTATATTTCTCTCTGTACGCAGCGAAGTTTTTCTAGACAATTTTAGCAAATCGTACACTGCGTAAAAATCAAACCA